ATTCGGTTGCAATACGTGGCCATGAACCCTAAAAATACCAACATTTAATAATTAATATTTTTTATGGAAATTTGTTAACAACAACAGTTAATTCGATTGGAAAATATGTCTAAAAATCCTGAATATAAAGAAAATACCTTTTCTAAATATTTCACAGCAATTTCATAAAATTTATTAATTTGTTTTAGTTTACAAAAATAAATATTGATCAAAGTTTTAAAAATATATATGACGAAGATAACAGATTATAGAAATAGATGACAGATAGAGGACATACTTTTATAGATGACTGCCAGTTAAAAAAGATGATTGTCCTCTAAAAAAGAGGACGTATGGTCACCTTAGTATAAGGAGTGCACCATATAGTTTTTCTCATGGTGACTATTCTCTCGCACAAAAAATTACATACATACTTGAAATACAAATTTGGTTATGAAGAGCGCGCTGTTCACTTCAATAGAAAAAGTAAATGATATTTTTCTCTGCCACTCAAATAAGAGCGCAAGTGCTTGCTCGTTTTCGAGTGGGAGTGCAAAATCGTGCAGATTACACTCTTGCCGAGTACTCTTTTATTTTTATTTATGTTTTTGTTGTGATACCGTTGTTTTACTCGATGTTGTTTGTGTTCATTGTTTGTTTGTTTGTTTTGTGATGTTTGGTTTGCTATACTGCTGGGAAAGCATGCATCAACAAGCGTTCACTTTATGTAAGTCTGAAATAGTGACAGCAAGACGAACCAGCCTCCAAATTGAAACCCTCGACAATATTTTGATACTAAAATTAAATAATGAACCACTTATGCATTCTTTTAATATTTTTGGAGAATACTTTTCCACATTTTTTAATGAATACCATTTTAAAAATTTGTTTGGAGGTGTTTATGCTTTTAAAAAAATATTGAATTAATTAAATCACACGGTTGAATTCATTTTATAAATTGAAATAAAAAACATATAAAAATCTTATATGGTATACGATTTTTATTTGTATTTCACATTTTCAGTAAACAAAATAATCGATCTCCCCACAGCACACAAAAGATCAACATCAAAAAATGTTTGCTACTACACACACACACAAATAACCAAACAACCAAATTTATTTGGATTTTTTGAGTGAACACATTCTAGAATTTTGACTCACACTCTTTTTCTTCATCAAGGAGTACCTGCGAGCACTCCCAAACAAAATAAAAGAGTGGATGTAGACACATGGTTATTAAAAACTCTTTGCTTACTCCCACTCGGGAGTATTTTTCACTCGCGAGTAAAATCGAGCAAATCGGAGCTCTGCTTGAAATACAAATTTGGTTATGAAGAGCGCGCTGTTCACTTCAATATATATATATATATATATATATCTGCTAGCTCAAGATTGTTCTTCAAGATTGAAATTATACCAAAATTAGTAGCCAAGGCAATAAATACACACGTTAGTGATTGGACTGTTCGTAGATCACTACGTAGGATTGGTCTAGTTGCTGCAGTCAAGAAAAATTAACCAATCCTATCAACAAAAAACGACAATTTTGTAAAAATACGAAAAATTAGACCGCAGAGGTTTGAAGAAGGAAATTTATCTCAATATTCTTCAAATCATGTATCCAGAATATGTGGAGAAAAGTGAATATTCCGAGAAGAGTTACCATTTCAACCATGGTATAATAACAAGAGGTAGGATTACTTGACGTAATGAGCAAAGACTGTAGTCTAGTGTAATGTCTTGTAATGTCACATTAGATAGAAAAGGCGCCACAAGAAAAAATTGTAATCAGTCGTTACCATTAGCCTCAATCTTGTTATTGTACCATGGTTTCAAAAACATGGAAATCCTAAGCTCGGCTAATGGATCAAATGTTCTGCCTTGAGCCAGCTAAGTAAGCCTATTGAAAATATGTGAGTCGTTTAAAATTGAACATGACAGTGTATGAAAGAGCACCAACTCGGGCAAAAACTACAAGAGGAATGGATCAAAATCCCAAATAAAATCATAAAACAATTTGGTGGAGAGTATGCAATGCGCATTCAAAGTGTAAAGGAGCAAATATGGCGAACAAAATAAAAAAATCACTTAATGTTTTGGTTTTTGATTATAAGTGCAAAAGTGTAGGAATTGAGTGTTTTTTATTGTATATATGCTTGATCAGAATAAAACACTAAGTCGAATTAGCCGCGTTCGTCTGTCTCTTAACATCACGATAGAGCCCGCAATATCCATAAAGTGGTACCTCCAATTATTCGGTATTACGGAACATTTTTTAAACAAATTAGCTGTAATTTAGTAATCTGGGTGCTCATTGGCTAGCAAATCTTCTTACCAAAAATTATCAATATTAACGTAAATCATTACAAGATAGTCATAATTATTAAAAGGCAGGGCATAGCTACCAACTGATTACAAGTTTTCTCAAGGTGGCTTATTCAATCAAATCAAAATACACTTTGGTCTGTTCCCGTACTGCAAGAATCTACTAATTTTTACTATTTTATTCGATATCATAAAGTAAAAATTGTTATCGTCGTAAAAAATTGTACATGCTTGCAGGTTTAATATTTTGAAGTTCCCAGCCTCTATAATCTATAAATATAAGTTGTAGCATCTGTAGATATAGCTTAAGAACAATGTGGATCAAAAATGTAGATATTTATTACATTATTAATTATGTCATGAAACCCATTTGTTACGGCAATCGTCCGGAAGGAATTACTATGATGAAGCAAACATATCTCGGCATTCCCAACTCAGTTTTGGGAAGAACTCATAGCATTTCATTATTTTTTCGTGTTTTTAATTAGGTGTTGGAAAATATTCAAATAAACATATGAACTCATTGCGTTTATTTATTTTATTTTTGACAACAGAAGCCACTACCTACTGAGTTCGTTTCCACAACAGAGGGATCTACGATCCGAAACGACCCGAGTCTTACTCGGCCAACGTCTGTCACCTCAGTCCATTGTGTAAAAGCAATAGGGCTGCTACAACAACAACCTACTGAGTTGATTTTTTGTTAGTTAACTCAAGTTATCCTAACTTATAGTTGGCCTGTTCCCGTGCTGCTAGAATCTCCTAGTTTTTACTACGATAATAATTTTTCCTTTATGATATCGACGAATATTGTAAAAAAATAGTCGATTTTTGCAGCACGGGAACATACCAATTATTGTACTCATAAATGTATTATAAAAATGTTAAGGGTGATTTTAAAAACTTTTAAGAAATAGCTGATTTCACATTACAGGTCTCCAATTTTATTAATTTTTGTGCGAAGTTAATAGTCCATGCAAATTTTCATATCAATTTAAATCAAACTGAATGCAGATTACTTACTATGTAATATCGGGTAATTTAAATAATACAAACGCGGCCTGTGAAATATATTACATTTGTTGCTCTTTGAAAGCATAATCAATGAAAATCAATAATCAAAAATGAATGCTACACTGCTCAGCCATTGGTCTCAGACAAACACACTGACACGTAGAGATGTGTAAAATTTACGACCGGCTGGGAACACCTGACATACATCTATTGTACTGTAAGTACGTAAAATGTGAGTCAACCAAAATACTGGATATCCGATCCCCGGATCACCACCCACCAGAATACACAATGTCAGATTATGTTACTGCGGTTAAATATGAAGTGTGAGGGACAATACCCTGGCTGACCGTTGAAGGAGTGCTAATGAACTTAAATGTCCCACAACTAATTTGTAATTAATTATCAAGAAAGACAGCAATAAACCGATAGAGGGATACATTTCAGTTCTTTGTAGGCAAAAGCGACATCAACGTATATTGGGGTGGAACAACTTTCAAAGTTATTACGGCCAAGCAACAAATGTGCCGGATTAAATTGGGTGTTATCCAGATGGCGTTTACATGCGAGAATTGTTTGCATGTGTATGTCTGGTTTTAGTCGTCAACGGTTACATTTTCGAAGGATGTAAATTTGTAACTTTTGATTAAAAATATGTAAACAGCAGAAAAGCCATTGATCAAAACATTGACGGATTGCAACGAAAATAGCCAACTTATACGCATTAGACCGTTGGTTGAACGTTGGGTAATAAACTCAAAATATTTGTAATGTGTCGAAAAATGTTCAGTTGGATAAACCTTGACGGTAAATGAAATTATGCGCGTGATTTAGATCAGGGTGCGCAAAAAATCGCTCACGAATGGTTCAAAATACGTTCTATCCGTTTGGGCTCCTTTTACTTATGAATTTATCGCAATAAATTCTTAGCAAAAGAGCATTGGTCAAAGGAATGGTCGCACACACCACCGACGAGTGAGAGCACACAACAACGATCTTTCATTTCGTTTGGTGGTTGAAATTCTTTCTGACATTCGCTCACTAATAAAAAAAAGCAATGCGAACATTCGCGAAAGATTGCAAATGCTGGTTCATTCATTGTAACCTTATTATTCGCGCATCTTTATCACAAAGAGCGCATTTTAATCATTCCCCAGCACCCTGGTTTAGATACAAGCCTGTCACAAAACAAATAAATGTGCGACAAACAAAACGAATGTTGAATGTTGTAAATAATATTTTACAATTAACGAGGTTTACTATAAGAACTTGCCATTTTTTTTAATAAATTGTATGTCGATTAGTATAGAGGTGCGTTCACAAATTAAAAAAAAATCAATTCTTTGTACTATCAAAACATTAACAATTCAATCAATGATCTGAAATCAGGATTCTTCCGAAGCAATAGGATGAGAGTAATACAGTATAATATCGCCAAACAATATACACATAGTCCGAGTTTTTATCCTTAGTTACTTACAAAACTACTTGTGCATAGATGATCATGCGGATGGCGCCCAAATTGTGTAAATGCAATTTTAAAAAATGGTTGCAGACAGTTAATTTTTTAATTATTGTCCAATATATTTGTAATCGATTAAAATTGGTATGCGTAATCGTCAGCACTGACTGTTAGAAACTTTTTGTTTTTTCATTAGAATTCATTGACCTTTTGCAATATGCTGAACGGTAGACCAGGCGATTTATTAATGGATCGTTCAACAGCGATGTCAGCAAAATTGGCTACAGCAAAAAGACCGCAGACGTTATCAATGGCAAATAGTACATCATCGGGGGAGGTGAAGAATATGAGCAAAACAAAAGATGTCATTGCTAACAGTAGTTCTGAGTCAATGAGTCAACACGTAACCATAGCCGTTGTACGGGCACCAGACAAGCTACAGTTTGACAAAATGTCCGTCCATTCAGTAAGTTCCGAAGACATATCGTCTTCGAACGATGGTCAATGCTGTAGTGCCGCAGCCAGAAACCCAGCTATAAAAACAGGGCGCCGCATACAGCTGATGCAGGTAAGAGCTTGGAAAAAATTATATTCATATTTCATATTTCAGTTTGACGAGTAAGATATGTATACTGAATTTAAATAAATTATAATGTATAAAAATTAAAAAGACTTGCGAAATCTATAATTAACTTATGTCGAGATAAAATCAAGTAAAATATAAATATTTTCATCAGTGTTCCAAAAGATCCGCCTAGTTCTAAAAGATGCGATTGTTACAAATGTCAATGAAATATAAAGAATAAGACAAATTCACTAGTTTATGTTATATTAGTTCATAAAGTAATTATACCCTACACAACTATGTTGTCAGGGTATTATAGCTTTGTGCAGCCCCAAATGTTTGTAACGCCGCGAAATATTGGTCCTAGACCCACCTTTAAGTATACCGATCGTCATATCTCGACTAGCTGAGTCGATCTGTCCATTATGTTTTGTAAACAAGATACAGGCCACAGTATGTAGGATGGGTTCTGGCTAATGAAGACCCCTATTGTGTTTGGAAAAGATCGGTTAATATTTAGGGGATGAAATGGACCAAAAACTTTATTTTTGTCGGGTTTTCTGGTCGCTCTAGAGGCAGCAATTATGACCCAAACACCGCGAATTTTTGCATGGAGAAGGGGATCGGGCCAATGAATAAGCATGCCTATTTTGGTAAAGATTGGTCAATATTTGGCGGGTCAAATAGACCCAGACTTTTGTGTGGAAAATTACAAAATTTGTATTCTATGGCGTATATATTTACTCCTGAAGGACATAGACCCGAGAAGTTGATAGTATATCCAAGAGGGGTGGTTTACCTTTACATTGATACCCATTGCATTGTCGTGTGCACTCGGATGTGGGAGTTTCACTTAAATATTTACAGGTCCTTACGTATTCATATATTATTTAGTAGCGCATTACCACACTAGAAATGAAATTTTCCAGGAGAATCCAGGCATGGTCATGGACAACGCCTATAATTTTCGGTGATGATCAGATAATAATATTTGGATGAAGTGACCCGAAAACTTAATTTTTTGTTTTTTTTTTTTGAGTCGATTTATAGCCCACTATTGAAAGCCGGACATCACAGCACAACCCACGGTGAAGGGGATCTGGACAAGTAAGAGATCTGGACAAGCAAGAAGAGCTGTACTGAAAATTAGTATTATTTGTAGATGTCTAGTCGGTCAAGGGGGTACAAATATCGCTAAATATTGCCCAAGTTCAGAATATCGAACCATAGAAAATTAGATTTTCGTGGAAGTTGTGTAGGGTATCATATGGTCGGCCCCGTCCGACTATACTGCTCCGCTCACTGGTTTTAGACATATGTATATGCATACAGACTCTGTCCCAGATCTGATTATTATGGCTCAACATTTAACATTATTTACTATTTGTTGCAGATGATTATTTTACCGTTCATACCAATACTGGCATTGATTGTGCAAACATCTATATCGCTGGACGATGTTCTGGAATATAGAGCAGAGGTGGCCGACATTGAGACACAGGTATAGTTACCATCATTTTTTACATAAGACTTTTATATTCGTCAGCCTGGCATAAGCGTATAAGTTAACGTCAAGTCTTGGTCAACAATTGGAAATAACATCCACATACAAATTTGTTGGTAGAAAATAATGCTGGTGTCACTTGAGTCGGTTACATTAAGTGTTACATTAAGTGTGAGATCCCGAAGGTATTTTTTGGATCAATGGTGTCAATAGGTACCAGTACAATGCACAGTGCCTTGCATGAAAATGTGAGGTAGGAATGAGTTCAGATCAGTCAACATTGTGCCAAAAGTTGGACAAAAATCAGTCCAATATATGCTATGTACTATTTGCCGAGAGATGAGAAACATGACTATATTGTAAGAAAAGAGCAATATGTAATGATGTCCACACTTAAGATTGGTAATTGTGTGCGGATAAATGAGAATCTTATATTTGTAGATAAACGTTGATAACAAATGATGATCTGAACACTTCAGAAATAACTTCACTTATTTAGCGTCGAAAAGATGGCATACTGAAAATATAATAAACGAATGACTCGTTTATAATACTCGAACCTTTTACCTACCAACAACCTGTGAAATTGCATTCACTTCCCTTGGAAAGGAAACTCCCTGCAAAAATATTATCGAGGGTTTACTTTATTGAAGTCCCCGACAAAATACTTCTGAGGTGTACAAACGGAACAAACAATTTAATATAACCTCACCCCGTGGTGGAGTATATAAACTCATCACACAGTGGCAGTCGTCATTATTTCTATTCCATGAGCATGGGTCAGTTTGGCGTGGCGAATATTTAGAACAACTGGACAACCCCAACATTACCATAGTTTCAAAATCACATTATTATCGTAGTGTTTTTGTGAGTACATACTTATGTGTGAATGTATGTGTCTGAGTAAATGTATTTGTTTCCTCCCACGAAATAATGGAACAAATGAAAGCACCAAAACGTTTTTCACGAAGACATTATTTAACTGTTGGTAATTAAAATTTATCGCATCAGTTCAATCATACGCCTTGATAGCATTGGTGTCACTTCGAGTTCGTTGCGTTCTATTTACAATCAATATGTGGGATCAGGACAAGTCGTGGAAAGGGATATCAGTTGCGTGCAAATATTTACACTCGGGCTGCACATCAACCCATCTGGAGGATACACATGCCCATACAAATGTACATATGTGTGTGTGTGTGTGTGGATGCGCTCTAGTTATGGCAAAGAGAAGAGAACGATAGTGAATAGGATGGACGTTTGTCCTTGAACAATAGTCATTCAATGGACACATTTGCTAAGGTGTGATGACTGCACCAGATGTAATGTTCGGTTAATGGTCTAGCAAAGATCATATTATAATATTATTAATTCGATGACACCTGGGTTCGAAAAAAATAATGTACCGTACGAGGCACACTTGCTTACAGTGTGCACATCCTTGCAAGTTCTGCAACAGACATAATAGTACATTGACAGAAGTCGGATACACTCTGAAAAATTGTGATCATATGGTTAATTACCTGTAACTACCACTAAACAAAATGAAATATCAATTCGTTTGAAAAATCTACCCAAACTAAAAAGTGGACCAATATTGATAATTTTTTGTTGGAAGGTGTGCTACACCATAAGTACCTAAAATACAAAATTACAGTCAATTCGGCTGAAAATCGTGTCTAAAATTTTAAAAATAAAAAGTGGATGTGAATCCAGCAAAGTGTGTTGAATTGAACTTAGCGCGTTTACTCATCAATGTAAAACAACAACAAAAAAATGAGATAACTGTATTTTTATTTTTTTTTTAAATCGATATATTTGCCTTATTACACCTAACTGTATCGATATGTCTCTGTGGTGATATAGATGTATCTGAAATAGACTGAAATAATCTGCGCAAACTTATCGAAGTGGAAACAGTGTGTTGGCCATTTCAATGGAAAATAATTAGGGCTGGAATATTCAATTCGTTGCACTGTGTAATGGATTCTACGTCGTAATCAGGCGGAACATTAATTTTAATTTCAAGACTCACTAAATTCTCATCATCTTTGCGACTCCGTTTTCAGGTAACTATTGCTACGGATTTGGGAAAAGTCGTTACACATCTGCAGCTGGAAAGATCGGAGGTAGCTTTTTATATATTTACGAATGGCAGCAAAGTTCGGTAAGGCGTGTATGGGTGTGTGTGTTAGACATACTATATTAATTGTATTATAGTTCGAATTTGACACAACGCTTTGCTGTTACGGACCAGGCATTGAACAACATGACCACATGGAGTGAGGTTAGCGTCCCCACCCTTGATGATGACGACGATTATGGGGTTTTATTGAATCGCAGCGAATTCCAAAGTCGTCTTAATGAATTTAGGTAAATCCCCAATTACAATGTTTAAAAACAGCATCCACCAGTGTGAGCATAAAATCATCCTGCAGAGAAGTGTGTGTAAGCGTGTGTTTGTGTGCGCGAGTGTGTGTGTAATGTAATTAATATGTAAATTTGTAAACCCTGCATGGACATGTATTATGTATGCTTGCTTGACGTTTTATGTCTCCCCCACCATAGGGATAGGGTACGGACGGAACCTGAGGATAATTCAATCACCGATGTCATGAATTGGTATACAGCGATTAACAAGGCTCTGCTGCACCATCTCTCGGAGCAGATCAAGGAGGCGGACAACAGCGGTGTATGGAGGTTAGCATTTGGATTGGCCATTGGCCAATCTGTTAACTTTCGGCATCTAATATGGATACCCCAATGTTTGTTTTGTTTTTTATTTTTTTAATTCAGATATCTTGTTGGCTTTAAAAATCTGCTAAAGAGCATCGAAAGCCAAAACATAGCCTCCTCGTTCGGCATCAAGTACTATGGACGGGGGTTATTGGGTTCGGAGGGTTTTGCGTCGTTCATTCGGCATGAGTTCCTGGCCAGGGAACTGATAAATTCCACTTTAAATTACGTGCCCTCTCTAAGGAAGATGTACATCAACATTACAGAAACGAACACCTACAGGAAAATGAAAAATATGTAAGTAATAGAATTGCGCTAAGGCGCCTTCAATTTGCCCACGAGTCCACAGTTGACACTTGTTTTACAACTAGGAGTTCGGTTGTTCTGAAGAACAAGCGTCGCAATGTATCCGACATCCAGAGCGCCATCGAGTATTACGACGCAATGCACAACTATACCGACGACTTGAGGATTTTACAAAAGGACCTGAGGCAACAAATTAAGTAAGTATATAACTAATTCGCCCATTTCCCGGCATAGATCGGCTATAACAAGGCACTTCAAACGCAGGAAATACGTGGGCGAAACTCTAAAGGTGGCAGCCAAGAACGAGGCTATTGGCATTTCGATTTTAGTTGTGGTACTTTGTGTCTCGCCCATTATCATTGTGCTGGTGAAGAATGCAGCAGCTACCATACAGGTGACGTGGCGATTTACACCTTTGTATTTCCTCAATTTGTGTATTCGTTTCCAGCTGATATATCCTATCCATTCTTCATTTAGATGTACGCTTTGAACTTGGCTGAAAAGGCTAAGGAGTTGAAACGGGAGAAGCGAAAAAGCGATTCATTGCTGTTTCAGATGTTACCACCCAGCGTAGCCATGCAATTGAAACAGACACAACAGGTAGGGCAGCGTCACATGACCCAAAAACACGTCTGAGCCTCCATACCCTATTGTCTCATTCACAGGTGCCTGCAGAACTCTATGAATCGGCTACTGTATATTTCAGCGATATCGTGGGGTTCACAGAAATAGCTGCTCGTTGCACACCGTTAGAGGTAAATTTTTATTAATGCACTGTAACTGAAAAATGCACCCGGAATGGCGTAAAACTTGCACCTTTTAATCTGAATAGCTTGTCAGTCAGCGTTTTTTGGGAACTCTCTCCCTCTCTTCGTTCTTTAAAAGGCAGATTTAATAAGGTAGCCGCAAGTACAACTAAATGTCAAAAATGTTGTTGTAATTTAAAACCAAAAAAACTTAAAAACAGAATTATAAATGAAAATCTCCGAATGTTGAAGATCTAGTTCAGCAATGCATTTATTAACATTTTCTGAGTGAATTTGTTTAAAAAATCGCATGAACCTTTGTTTGTTTTTGCAAAATACTTTTGACATATCCATGGCCCAATAAACAGGTCGTGTAATAAGCGAAATGGTTTCACCCGAACTTCCAAAATTTGACTTAATCGTGTGAAAACGTAAACAAAAAATTTTACTCGACCTGGACGTATCATTGTACTACAACATTTGTTTTTTTTTTTTGTAGAAATTCGCCTATGCGGCTACTTTTCTTAGTATGCCATGGTTCTCGATGTTCATTTCTTGAGGTCCATATAAATTATCCTTGCTAAAGAAGTTGCAAGAGACCAACACAAATTTATACGCACCGGCAAACAAACATACGAATATACATACATACATGCATATATAAAAATGAAGACAGTTTTTCAATGAATATAAATTATTTTTTTTATTTCAATCGTGACATTGCCGTTCGTTGGCCTGCGATGTGGTGCACCTTATGCTGCTTCACTGGATTCTATACTATGGACTGTTGCTAATGTGCAACGGAATAGGTCGTTACATTTCTTAATTCAATATATAGGGTATTCGACGAACGTATAGAATGCTATGATGTTTACAAAGTTGAAACAATAGGCGACTCATATATGGTGGCCTCTGGATTACCGGTTAAGAATGGTAAGTTATCTTGGTGTTAGTCGAAGGTCACACTAAAGTGATCTCACGAAACAAATTACATATGATAAGGCGTTCATCGAACAACTTCCCCACTTCAGTAATTAAAAAAATGTTCACTTGACGAACTTGAAATGAAATCTCTTTATCTGTGACTTTCGACTTATATTGTCAGGTATATAATATAACTGAAATTACCCCTGGCTTAAGATGATGTCACATCCAAGTACTACCCTTGACATCATCATCAAACACAGTCGAAATCACTCGTAACGACGGTGAAGGAACCTGTGAACTTGATTGCTATAAACGATAGTCGCTATACACTATACGATATCGACTAAAGGGATATCGCGTCCCGTCGTTGTCACCGATATGTCGTTAGAAACGTCGTCTTTATAAACGATTTCAACTGTATAAATACATACATACATATGTATGTATAATTGTATGGGGGGAATATTTGTTTTTTTTATTTTCAAAATATAATTTATACATTTTACATTTGCATATTTTTGAATAGACATATACTATGCGGGCGAATTCAGAACATTAAGTTTTACCCCTAATTATATACGCATACACATGTATGTATGTATGTGCGCACTTCTTAAATCTCGTATGTACATACATACATGCATATGTATGTAAATGTAAGTACGGACATGATTGACCAGAGTGGACACTCTCTTCATTTTTTTAATATAACAGGAAACAAACATATTACCGAAATCGCAACAATGGCTCTTGATTTGCTGGACGCTTCCTCATGTTTCAAAATACCACGTTCCATGGACATTTTGCAAATACGATGTGGCGTCCACACGGGTCCTGTGGTAGCTGGCATCGTTGGTACAAAAATGCCGCGTTACTGCTTGTTTGGCGATACCGTCAACACGGCATCCCGAATGGAGTCGACCGGAGAGGCTCATAAAATCCACATTACCGAGGAAATGAACGAGGCCCTGATGAAGGTTGGCGGTTTTAAGACCGAGCATCGTGGATGGATTGATGTTAAGGTGAGCTCCATATTTGGCGCACGTATTTATGTAGACCGCTCCGCCATGTGTAATTATCATTATCCCCACTCTTTCTTTGCAGGGTAAAGGCCTTATGAGCACCTATTGGCTGACCTGCAAAGATGGTCCGGTTAAAGTGCGGGAGGAAATCGCCTGGTTTGCTGACATGCAGCCAGTCTTTTTGGAAAACCTAAAATTAGATCCTGCGTACAGGAGCAGCAAGCTGAAAAAATGAATTGCATCGTACGACTTTGTGAACTGTTTGTCTATTATTTTAGTCGTCCATTTTCCTGCCCCCGTCGCCGAACATATGCGATTGTATTCGAACCGCTGTCTACAGACACGATGTGAGTTGGCTGGGGTGGGCGTTTTCATTTTTGACATACGCCAAACACAACACAACGCATATAAAGGTTCCTCTCTACGTATTTATGTACATATGTATGTATGTGTGAGTGTAAAATAACACGTTGTCACATACAATTATCATTACGCCAGTGTCCACAATCCATACAAATTGTCACCCCATTAACGACGATGCCAGTGGCAGCAATTGCTGCCATGACGTAAGGCCGACATTCCAGTAACTTACAGAAACGTACACACTACTAGGTGTCTTTCAGCCCCGATTCATCGTTCAATAAGAGATTGGTTAGGGGACAAACATAAATGTCCCCACTATTCCACGTCGAAATATCCTAAATATTAGTTGGTCTTCCTTTCTGTGTACCTACTTCGAGACATCAAGAGCACCTCCCATTGGTGAACAGCCTCTTCCAGGCGTGATCATCTCCATGATATTGTGTAGTCGTATGCTGTCCCGTAAGAGTTAATCAATGTACATAATGTAATGTGTTTTGTGCATCAGTGTTTTAATAAAATTGTATGTGTCGTTTCATGTTCGGCCGAGAACAAAAGATTACTATTTTGATGTTGGTTTTCTGTGTCTTATGTACCGTATTTGGTGATTTGAGGCGACGACAGGCAAATGCTAATTAGTCAAAAACACCCGGAAGCACCGGCCAATAATAAAACACTCTGAAAGATTTACGATGATGTATTTTAATTGCAACCAATTATGAAATTATTTCAAGTATCATGGCATTGCGTTGTTAGTAGTACCGACAAAATTCCGAAATTCCAAAATTTGTAAATGGCAATGAAACAGTATTTCCAAATACTATCTCCACTTCTTTCTATGCTGGCTACCTATCCTACAACAAAATATTTGTTCAGCTACTATAACGGCTTACTTAATAATACCCTGTAGAAAATACTCTTATGCATGACAATTTCCTTGATGAAATTTATGGAATCATGACTGAATACATGTTTGGTCTGTTCCCGTACTGCAAGATTTTCTTCGATATTATAAGGGAAAATTTGTTATCGTAGTAAAAAGTAGTAGATTCTTGCAGTACGGGAACAGACCAGTTATGTCATGGAGAATGTCGTATACTTTTCGAACACATTTTTATTTTTAAATTTCAATGATAGCATGCTTTGGAATATTGGTAAAAATTATATTATTATTTAGAATTATAGTTTCATAAAGTTCTGACGTGTTTTTATAAATATAAAGAAATGTATATTAATAAATCGAACGAGTTCAGCTTCAATTAATTGATGTTTTGTGATTTGATAGGTTATCCGTATACGAAGAATTTTGTCTAATTTGATAAACACGTGTTAGTTAAGCGAAGGTTTAACGAATGAGCCGTCCGCAGACGAACTGTTTTCTTTTTGACAACCCTTCATCGTCAAAATGATTTTGATTTACTTTATAAATATGTATGTATATGTGACAAATACATACATTTGTCAGTAACAGAAAAAACAAAAAAAAAAAAAACAAATTGAAAAGGCAAACAACAAATTGAAAAACAAATTTGTTTAAAAGAAATAGGAATACATGTAAATGCTGAGGAAGGTAAATTTGTAACTAGGATAGGACAGCCGTCCAAAGGTAAGTCATTCAATAAGTATTAATCGGTTTATAATAACTTTAAAGAGTGGTGTTTTTCAGGCAATGACGTCCTCATATTCCACATAAAAATGCGTATGGTAGTGAAATAAAATTAACTTTGTTGTTTAAACTCTGAATTTTTTAGAAGTGCTCAATGTGTTTTATTAAAGGAGAGATATTCCTATATAAGAGGGTTAGTTTTCTAACTGGGGGTATTCTTATAGACGAGTTCAAATCTTTTCACAAGAGATATGGAGGTCTTCTTATAGAAGAGCTATATATCTTCTTATGGAAGAGCTATATATCTTCTTATAGAAGAGCTGAGGCCTTCCTTAGGAAGAGATATATATCTTACTACAGTAGAACTGGATGTCATCTTATAGAATACTTCTTGAACGGGATGAAGAAGATCTGGACGCATTTTTTAAAGAAAATCTAAAAGTTAAAGAGATAATTTAATACGGACGACCGCCACGGGCGCGTTTAAGGTTCACCAATTGCCTTTCCAATGCCTTGCAACATGAAACATTGGTCGGCATCAAAATCAGTTGATCAAAGTTGATTACCTCACCACCAGCATTCAAGATATGATCGCAAGCAGTCATTTTGGCCACGTTGATTCTGATTGTTGGGCTGCCTTAGGTTTGGGGATGCAGAATTCTTTAGAACGAATTAAAAAAGAGCAGTTGCCTCGAAAATGTGATGCGTTCTGATTAAAAGCATTGAAAACTCAACTTTCTTCGGAAGAAATCGAATATTTTTAAGGTCCATTGAATTGAGATACGTCATGTTAACAGGAGATTGGGGATGATATACACCAAGTAGTAAGGGAAGAAAATTAAAATATCCCCAGTACTTCTATACAACACTTAAGCTAAATGCTAAACATATGTTATATAAGAGGAAATTAGCATTATGTGAATGTTCAAAAATCTGTGCTATACCACACTACAATAATAGATCATATATATATATAAGTGAAAATTTCAAATACCCTGAAGATATAGCCGATATTTGTGTTAGCATCCAGTGACGGCAAGAGTTATTCTTAAACGTGTTTTTTTCGAAATATTGTTTTTACGAATGGCGGGAACGATGACTCAAAGCCTATTAATCCAATCAGTTCCAAATTTTGACATTTAACATACATAGCTATCAAACGATAGCTACCAATCGGTGATCACCCTTATTTTTAAACTTAGTTTGTGGTAAAAAATTCGATTTTCAAAAAAAAAAATCAAAGGTCCGCCAATTTTGTAATTTTTGAGCAAAGTCTTCAATCACAAAACCAACAAAAAGTTTTTGTAAATTAGTTTGCTTCTGTTTTAAATCTTCAAATATATACTGAGTTAAAAATCTCAACAATCATTTGTATTCATTTACCAGCCTATTGAAAATCTTGAACATTTTAAATCGAGAATGGTGGGGTGGGAATTCTTTTACGTGTGGTATACTGGCCATGAATAAATAATAAAGTATAAAGGAATGGACCGATGGATCCCATCTTCGAACTTGATTTTAATTTGAAAGAAATATTCTGAAGTGCGTACGACGATTTTTATTGTATTAACATATTTTGACCTTTTTATGGGGGATGTAACTCCTGGAAGACCGTTCGGATTTAGGCAAGTAAAAAGTTCGGTTCGGCGAACATAACCACGTTTTACTTGTTTCTTTATAATATTGAACAGTTTTACAAGTATCTGTATTTGAATTACCTAATTCCACAAATTGGACATGTTTGTTTAGAAGTGGAGATTACTTTTATAATTTGGCGATTTTTAATTTTTTTTTGTTACAATCAATAGACGGAAATTTTGTTCCATCTTCATAAACCACTATTTACAAACAAACCGTAATTTCAATACCAACGTTCCAGATTCTAGGTTTATTCGTTCACTCAATTCGAATATAATAATTGACGCGGTCGGTTTTTCATAGATATTGCGAATGCATTTTCGCAATTCTATGATTACGTCTACTGACGTTCATTAGGAACTCCAGTCCTACATAGAAAATTTAACGAGTCCAATTTTAGCCGTTTTGTCTGAAAGTTATCCATTATTATTTACGTTTTTGTTGGATTTTTTTTGATCAGGTAATTATGACGAAAATAAAACGATTTTTTTTCATATTTTGCTCAACGTTTCGTTGGTGTTTTATTCCAAAAATTTCAAGAGCTGTTGTTATTGATCTACTGACACAATAAAAATTTAATAATAAGTTATGCTAGCGACCCGATTCAAATGTCGATTAAAACCGGCATCTTTCAAGTAATTGGTTTATATTTACAGCCCACAATTATGACCCGAATCTCTCGAAAAAAATTGGAAAAATTCACGAATTTTATTAAAAAAATAATAATATTTATGTATTAAAGGCGAATTAAAACTTACAACAATTTGCTTTGACATTTAATGTTACAAACAATTGGGTCGATTCGACTACCTAATACATCTACCTTGGAACAGGATAAAAATTTAAGATATCTTTTAAAAAAAGTAATGATAGTAATGTGAAAAAATATTTTGGATCGAAAAAAAATATACAGTGAGTGTAATAAGTATTTTGCCTCAATACAAATTTGACAAAATTCTAATATATACGCCCAAAGCCAGCATACTAAAGATGTAAAATGAATTATGTATGATGGGATTTGTATGTGAACATATTTAGATCTTATTTCTGCAAGAATCACTGCGAAAGACCTATTGGTCTCGAAGATATCGGCCAAAATTTATACCAACCCAAAAATGATTATCACAAAAAAGTATTTTGCTTTTTATTATTATTTTTGAAAAAATCATTATATAACACACGCTTTGTCTTTTTATAGTTACCATTGCGGGTAACCACGACGATTCCAATAAACCACATCATTTTTTCGCGAATATTTTCTCACATTTACGTTCAATACATTCTCCAGCAATATTTCATTTAATATATGGTAATTTCTGTCCTAATCTCAAAATGAGAGTATTAGATATAGTCCTCGCGGATTCAGAACATCCCAAATAATAGGTTTTGAAAAAAAATATATCGAGGACAGGACCTTAAAAACTATTAAAACCAAAATCCGACAAACAAATTATTAAAAAAATATCGCGAAACCCCATTTTTCAGACTTTGAAAACTTTATGGTTCATTAATATTAATCTAGGAACCAATATATGCGATTAAAATAGCAATAAGGAGGTCAGATTCTAAGAAATGAACAGTTCTAAAACAACAGAAACTACAAGACAGCACATGAAGTTGGGAGAAAACATCATTCTTCGTCAAATACTAATGCGTTTGACCAATATGTTTTTCGCAGTGATTCTTGCGGAAATAAGATCTAAATATGTCCACAAACATATCCCATCATACATAATTCATTTTACATCTTTAGTATGCTGGCTTTAGGCGTATATATTGGAATTTCGTCAAATTTGTATTGAGGCAAAATACTTATTACACTCCCTGTATATTTTTTTGGTTTATTTATTCTACAAACAATAAATTTGACAGCCAATGATGACCTTGAATTCGCCTCCCTGTTAACCAAGGCCTATATCAAGGTCAAGGTTTATTCATATGGTTATCAGGGAGGCGAATTCGAAGTCTTCATTGGCAGTCAATGAAGATTTCGAATCTTATGAATAAACCTTGGCCTATATAAGGTCGGCCAGTAAGCGAATTGATAGAGAGAGATATGATGGCAAAAACACAGGCACATAATTGTGTGCCTTTTAATTTAATTTCGATATTTTATCTCTCCAAATTCTTAAAGTGAACTACTCCTTTATTTCTTCCTTCAAATAATGCAAACGATAATTTAAAAAATATATTTTTTTGTGTTGCTTTATAATTTGTATTTAAGTTTTCACTGTTAAGCGGCTCATTAGGCAAATTTGGTTTTTCTATAATTTTTTTCTTGAGAGACAGATCCTCACCCAAAATGTCTGTTTTTCGCCTCCCAAATGCATCAAACTCGACTTAAATATTCATTATTACCTTTATACATTCCTTGGCAATATTTGGTTCAGCAGGCATCATTATCAATAGGATTTCCAAAGGCATTTTATTTGCTGTTTTCCGGATAAATATTTGCTTTTTATCATTTATAATATTCTAAATCGTTATAGAATATGTATTGTGTTAATATTTTTCATAAAAATATTTATAACTTATGTTTTTGTAGTCAACTCACTTTGAATTTATTAGCGAAAAATTTCGCACAAAATTTCATCTCATTCTCCTACTCCCTGTAATCCAGAATACCTAATTTTTCCCCAAAGCGGAATTTTTAGCTTTCGAACTTCATTCAGAAAGCGAGAATGCGAAAAATTCACACAAAAATGTTGTTCAGAATAAGACGAAGGGAAAGAGCGAGAAAATTCACGTGGAATTGACATCTAGAATACTACGAGGATTTTAACTAATTTCAGCATTTTTGTGAGGAGGGGTCCCCCTCGTGGACATTATCATATAGGTACATGTTCGCTTTTAATTGTTGACGATATTTTGAATCGATTGATACTCTGTAAATGTACAAGATACATTAAAAACAAATTAAAGAAAATATACATCCTCGGAGAAATCTAATTGCCGTCCCACTAAACGACTCAAATTCAAGTGCGAACTAAATTGACACATTTATTCGTAAACGCAGTACCTTTTGTTTGTACACGGATTTATTCTATATATTTATCAAATATAATAAAATATTCTTATTTGTTTCACTTAGCATACATCAAATACAGAGATGAATGGTTTAACAATTATAATAAAAATAATAATAAGGACAATAATTAATATAGACGATGTTTTTTACATAATGTTACATCAATGCTATCATATATAACAGCTATGCAAGTAAGTATGCACTACAACATAATCGGAAACTGGTATGGTGCAAACTATACACACTAATTTGAAGAAAAAATAAAAAGTTAACGATAAAAACCTTAAGAACTACTATATGTCAATAAAGCAGCAGTGAATGCTAACGTAAAAAATGAAGAGTATAAACCTGTCTATCATACACTAGCACTACAAATAAAATATAAACTATGGTGCTCTTTTGTTCCTCTGCACGGAGTTGCCGGAATCCTGACAACAACACATTTCTTCGCCACACTTAGTTCATCCATTTGCGACAATTGGGGGCACCACACATACACGGTATCTTGCTACCGTCATCCTCTATGTCGAATTTGTAGTCATATGAAAGCTGAATTGGGAAGGAGTAAAGAAAACATATTAGCCGCGAACATCTCTGATTGAAGACAAGTGATACTTTACTTCTTCACTGCGGTTTATTCTACGCTTGGCGAATATAATAATGCGTAACTCCCGATCGACTTCTACAATTTCTGTAACACAGTTGGGATTGCACGAATGATTTATATAACGGGCTAAACCACCACACAAAGTCGCATCAACAACGCGATCTTCGTCCAAGCGAAACATGTAAATGCCGCGGTTCTAGATAAACAAAAAATATTAATATCGTGCGTTCTTTTTCAACTTTAAATCGAAACGCTAATAGCAACAGATTGTGACGGTGGAATTTGAATGACATCTTACCCTTGCTTCGTATTGTTTTTCGCGAATTTCTGAAACTTCTGAACGTATAACTTCTCCGATGTATTCGATGATCATTGTATGTTTTTCCATATCACGGGCAGCATACAGACCCAGCCCTGCAATTTTCGACCTACAAACAACAACCGAGAATGCTAATTCAAACTTATATCAGTGCCGATGTTTGAGCTTACCTGGCAAGATACACGTTATTTCGCCATTCCTGCTTCATTTTCTTGTATTGGGAACTTTTCGAGTGAACAAACTGCTTGCTGTAGGGGCATGTAACCTCGCCAGCTGCTGCGGTTGACGGCAGAGCTGCTTGGTGGCCCCCCAATGAGCTGATGGAGCTACATGTTCTTTGGGGATGATGCTTCTTCCAGCCCATTAGTTGTCTAAGCTTTGGTTCTGTTCGAGCAGCCCCCGAAGGATTTAAGGCAAGTGGCAAGTCCAACAGGGGATTGCGACCATATTTGAAACGGTAGTTGGTCAGGGTCTCAACACCAGGAAGACTTTCAATTATACGCACTATCGCCGGTTCTGTAAGACCAAATAGATCTTCGCCACTTACGAATTCCGGATAAAGTTTGACTAAGTTGTGAGATCTGCGCATTTCGGCAATGGATTGTAAAACATGCTGCCACACCGCCTTGGGGGAAACGTCGCGAAATTCAATATCCTCTTCGGCAGGCTCTTGAATGAGAATTCGAAATTCAGGTCTTCCAGAAACTTCCGCTATGGAGCAGATGTAACGACATCGTTTGTTCGGACGGCGCATGGACCAATAAAAACGAATCTTCGAAGTAAAATTAATTTAGTTTTAATTTGTTACCGATAAATATACTACTCATAGAAACTTACGATCTTAAAGCCGATTGGGTATATACAGTTCGGTGTGTGGAACGCCTCCAGTTGATGGGGCAATAGTTGGCCTACATTCAAGAAAATAAGACTACCCACCCGCAACAGATTCACCATTTCGGAATGGTGCATAATGGCAGCGACTTGGCGGTTTTCGTCGCGGTCCACAAATACGCGTCGGGGCACTGATAATGTCGGCAACTCTTTGTCCTTGTCGTTGCGGGAAGCATGTGCTTGGCAATGGATCGTTTTGTTTTGATAGAACACACACTGGTCACGTATGGCACAAGGCAAATGAAACACGGCCCCGCATCGCGTCTTATAGCACTTTACTGTGGCTCCCAATTGCTGGCAGGTATTACAGGATTGATTCAAGCCAATTTGCAAAGCTGTGTTAAAGTTCATTAGGCCGCCACTGATTGTTTCATACACCTCCGTAGACCATAAAGCACAATTCAAATGAACCCATTTGTCGACATCGTAATTTAAAAGACGGGATGGGCCATCAGCTACTCCGTCGCCAATTTGGGAACACAACACACAGGATCGCCGATCTTCAATGGGCTGTTGGTGACCACCAGGTTCGCTTGCCCCGGTCGCGGACATTGTAATGTTCATTTTGAAAAGCATGTCACGTATATCTCTTTCAGACATACGTTTGACGGGGGTTGCAGGTTGAAAACACTTCGCACTGTAGTAACGAAACGATATTTTGTTGGGTTTTGTCTCAGGTTCAGCAACTGCTTTGGGATCCTCAGCGACAACGTCTTTTTTCTCATCCAACATACGTGAAACATCAGGCTTAATATCCAGCAAATCGTCCATTAGGTCACTGTCGAAATTAGGCTCCTCTTGTGGCGCCAAGTCCGGTCTTAACGATGTTGAGCTTAAATGCTTCTTTTGGCTGAGCCGGAACTGTACGAAACAAACTTTATTGCAGAAATAACGGGGCTGTGTCGGATGTAACAACTTGGCATGCAAGGAGCTCTTCGTGTTATCGTTGTTGTTTTTCAAGCATCGTCCCTTAATAGCGCTGCCACACTGCCTACACATTTTGTAACGGCCATTTAGTATTTCTTGAATGTGTAGATTCCTAAGAGCAATTTCACGATCACGAGCCGATAGCGAGGACGACTTATCTTCGAACTCCAAATCTCCTCCTTCTTCAACCAATTTGTACGGTATGGGCGTGTTGATTTGAAGAAGATTTGCCAAATTCTTGAGCACATCTAACAGACGCTCGGTAGATGAAGTCGGCAATGACAGAATTACATTTTGGCTGTTTTCGTTATTTTTCAAACTAGATTGGGAACAAATGAAAGAAGTAATTTTCTGAATGGTCACAACAGATACTACTGACTAAGATTACTCTTAATTTAAATCCGATGCGTTTGATGACTTCGGAGTACATGTTGAATAAATATTATGTAATATACTTACCCCAAGCCCTTGTGGTCCATTTCGTCGGGAAAGTCTTTTATATACATTCCACTGTCGGCGTCATTTTCAAGTGGTTTCAGTGGTGTCTTTTTTCGTTTGGTAATTAGCGCCATCGAATTGACCACCGGTATGACTGGGGACATGCGACCCATGCGCTGTTGGGAGCTGCTCATTAAAATCAAACCAGGAAATGTTTCCTGCTGCAACATATTGAGACGAATTGTTTTAACGGGATCAACGGGCATAAGATGTTTATTGCTAATGATTTCTGGTGTGTCCACAGCACGTTCGCGGTATACTTTTACCCAACTGTTCAGTTTGTCCGGCTCCGATTTATACGTGAATGAAGAGAATTCCTGATCGTAGTAATTGTTTTGTATGGAGGAGGATGTATTGGCATCATCGCTTGTCTTACGTCCACGAAATTTGTTCAAATCATAAAAAGGCACTTTGTTAGGTATGTAGGCTGCACCAAATTCACCTTCCAATTCCTGTTCGAAAAGGTTACCACGCTCACTCTGTCTGCTTTCCTTTTGGGGGGAAGTGCTCGAACTAGGGCAGTTTCGCCACCCGAACATATTGCACACACCATAATTTACATTAAGTTGAGGTTCCAAGACCTGCATTGGTGGCATCTGACGTAAATGTAGCATCAAATTTTCTATAAAGGAGTCATAGTCCTCTTCCATCTTGAGAGATTTTCGCGAACGCTTCTGTTTGGCAGCATTTGATCCAGCGGCACTGATTGAGGCATTAGCTGCAGGGTTGCCGGTGGTGGTCGTTTCTTTGGCATTTGAAGTGGACAATTGCTTACGTTGTTTTTGTTGTTCGCGTTTTCTTTTCTTGCGATTGTCGTTGTCCTTAGTGACTGGACTTGAACCTGATGTCGCTGACATCGGACTATGAGATTGCGCCTGTGCTTGAGCGTGCTGCTGAAGCAGTAGCTGTTGTTTATTAATAATGTTTATGGGAGGTTGATATTCCCCTGTCGGAGTGGATGCCACTGAATTTGAGGGTGTAGTCGACATGGGACTTGGCGTGGTGTTTTGCTGCTGCTGCGTTTGATGTGCGTGTTGTGGCATTTGACCGGTGTTTTGGGTATGCATCGTATACTGTTGTATAATTGAGTTTTGATCCTCAGATTCCGTATTTGTCGTGGAGGTACCCAATTTCGTGGAGTCTTGTTGCTGCACATTTTGAGATTGGACAAGAACTTGATTGCTAACTTGTGGTTGTTTTGACTGCAATTGCTGTAAGGGTTGATCGATATTTTTGTCCAGCATGTTGCTGTCGCCTTGATTTTGAACAATTTTATTAGTTTGCTGCAATCCGGATATTATTTGTTGTGACGTATTTGCACTTAGGCCCCCTTGGTTTACATTGGTAGTCGACTGGGTACTAAAGTTGATATTACCACTAGTTCTGTAAGGAATAATAAATTGAAATAATTAAATCCGTATATTCAATATTTCTTATTAACTCACTTTTCCTTGTTGTTGGAACCACTTCCGTAAGTTTTGAGTACCGATACAGCCTGCTGTTGTTGTTGATGATGCTGCTGCTGATCGCCGGTCTTCTTTATTTCTTGTATGTATTTGGTAATTTTGTTAGTTGTTGTGTTCTGTGGCGAACTGTGACATGCTTTGAATGTTGTCTGATCAAAGGACATTGGATGCCGTTGTGGTGTATCGCCACTAGCCTTTCCTGCAGATTCTCCGGTCGTCGTTTGCAAAGAAAATATTTCAATGTTTTGATCACTTGACGTGTCCGGCAACGAGGGCTTGGACACAAATGATGTTTCTTTCGAAATTAAAGGGGATGAACTGAATTTGGGTTTGGACTCCGATTGGGTCTGAGACAATGTCTTTGAACATGATATGATTAGTGATGGATTCGTGGTGGTGGAGCTAGAAGAGGATACTGACGAATGAACGACATGTGGTGAAGAAATCTTTGTGTGATCTATGACAGATTTCGAAATTGAAGTCTGTGTAGTCGTCGCTATTGACATGGGAGTCGGGACGACCGTAGAATGTACACTGGATTCACTAGCAGGCACCGGAGGTATAACAGGTCTCGCTAACTGCGCTTCTAATGAACTGACAAGTCCCAAACTTGGGGCTCTAACGTTAATAACTTTACGTCCAGGTAAAACAGTTGTGGGAGTTGCAACCGAATTTGAACGTGCGTGTTGGTTGTTACTTTGGTTGTTGAGAGGTGTGCTATTGGAATTTTGCAGCAGTTGTTTTAACAGAACGTTATTGCTATCTTCGCTTTTTGGCGCTTGCGATGGCGTGATTATATGTGATTGTTGCTGTTGTTGTTGTTCGGGTGGCAATGCTTGTTGTTGTTCTCCCACGACATTCGACGCGGTATACGATGTTTGTGTTTGGTTTGGTTCAGTTGGAGAAGGGTCCAGATTTTGCGATGAGGTCTGTTGCTGTATTTGATGTTGAATTTGTTGCTGTTGAAGCTGTTGTTGCTTCTGTAATTGCTGCTGCATTTGTTGTTTGTGCAACAATTGATGCCTCTGCAATAATTGTTGTCTATGTTGTTGCGACTGAGAAATTTGGGTCTGAGACTGGGTTTGGACCTGCTGTTGCGTTTGATGATGTGGTTGCTGGTGCTGCTGCTGAATCTGAAGATTAATCTGTTGTTGTTGATGTTGCTGCTGCTGTTGAACTGTTAACAATTGCTGTTGAAGAGAATGCTGATTGGCAGATGAATGGCATTGTTCTAAATCTCCACTCTTCTTCTTTTCTTCGTCGCTTTCCATTTTCGATTTAGAAATTTGAACAAAGCTTCCGCCACTGCTGCTGTACAAGCCTCCTGGCAGAACTTGTATTATTTTACGATTCTGAACAACATTTGTAGGAATTTGTTGGGTGGACTGCATCTGTGTTCCATGCTGGACATTTGAGCATTCTTGAACACTCGGTACAACATCATTTGCACTCGCGCTATCTCTATCGTTTTGTGAAACTGTAGACGAAGATACACTTATTGTCGATATCGATGAACTGGATGTGGTGCTTGACAGGCTGGTATTCACTCCCAGATTCATTCTTGTCGGTGTATTTGGCTTGTTGGGATTATTTGTGGATGTAGTTACGCAAAGTGTTGTTTTAGCACCAGCGTTTGTAAATACCTGTTGACCCGTTGAGGTCTTTGTCAACATTAACGAGATATTTCGAGGGAAATTTGAAGACACTGTATTCCCACCCACCGACGTGGCCGTTGTATTAATATTAGACGAGTTCATATTTGCGAATTGCGATTTCGTCAATATTAACTTCTGTTGCCCACTTGCCGCATCGGCCATGCTCAAAGACATAGTCGACAAATTTCCCGAAGTTGTTACAAGCTGTGGCGAATTCTGTCTTACAATACTTATTGTGGGACCAATATTTATTCTTTGCGTGGTCTGTGACGACTGAGATTGGGTTTGATCGACGACGTCGTGACCACCTGCAGAAGGCCTAAGTCCGCTATTTAAATTGCCTGTAGTAGACGCATGGACAACCTTGACACCTACCGGTAGAAAATCCGACGAAATAAAAGTTTGCCCACTGTTATCAGTACTGGATGAAGAACTCTTTAATTGCTGCGATTTTTCTGTAATTACGGTTGTTGTCTGGTCTGTTGTGTTAGAGGCTGCAGACACCGCAGACGTTTGAGACGTTACAGCGTCTTCGGTACTCGAATTTGACGTTGTGGACTTTATAATGGATACGGGAGTCAGCTCCTTAACAAGCGTATGTTGTTGCTTTTTGTGTGGCGAAGGCGACTGACCCTGCAGTATTGACGATGACTGCTGTTGAATCTGTTGTAAATCGGTTTTGTTGGATGTAATCGTGACGACGCCCGACGTTTGTTGTAACAAAGTCGACTTGTTATGTTGTACCGTTTGAAATTGTAGAGGGATCTTCTTACTTACAACCTTGGCTTGGACAATTTTCGCAGAGGAGACCGGCTTGATCTGAAGTTGTGATAATGACACGTACGTTGGCTGATTGCCCTTTTGTCCCCTCTTTATGTTAAGAAATTTACTGAGCTGTGCTTGCGGCGATTGCCCAGAGCTAGTCTGGATGGTGTGAATTACACTTTTAGAACTTTCTGTGGGTCCACTCTGGGTCGACGTGTTTACTCCACCCTGATGAATTATTTGTGATGTGCTAAGAGGCTTAAGTAAAGGCACAGATATCGTCGTATTGCCAATGGATACTTTGGCTGTGGTCTGTGTAACTTCTGGCAAGAGTTTTTTCGACGAAACCACCAATGACTGATTTTTTACTGTTGCACCCTGAAGATTTTTCAGATTCATGCTTTCGCCAGTGGGACCAGTTACATTACTAACAGAGCACACCCGGCTATATGTAAATGTATTTTGTGGACTACTAGATGTACTGGATACGGATAGTAATAGTTGTTCCGTCTTCTTGTCGCCCCCAGACAGCATTTGGATCTTACCGGATCCTGGTACATCGCTATTAGTGGTGATTAATTTCAAGTCTATGCCATCTCCAAAACTCTTCTTCGGGGCATCAGCAATACCAATTTGCAGCCGTTTTGGTGTTTGTTTGCCACTGATACCCGCTATATATGTGGAACTGGCCGTTCCACCTGGATCGCCTTCTATATGCACGACCCGCTCTTCCACACCCACATCACTACTTTCATTTACTTTGGCCGTTGTTGGAGCTTGTTTGCGTATAAGTAGCATATCCTCGCCACTGCCAGAAGTAGAATACACTTTCGCTGTGCTATCTGTACCGCCACAGCTCTCTTCGCTGAATGCACCAGCACCTACGCTATCCTCAACAATTAATTGATACTGGTGGTGCTGAGAAGTGGTATTGCCATCGCCGCTGATTAATTTTCTGGTTTTTAGTTTTTTTGTCACCGAATCCGGTCCACACCCGATGGTTATAATATTGTTTGTACTTTGCTGGGAGGCACTTACTGATGTTGCCAGGATATTACTACTCCCACTCTTTTCCAATCGCAGTTTCTTATTTTCATCATCGTGGCTTTCGTTCGAAGTTCTCTTGATTGTGTTTGTGGCTGTCACCTTAAACGTTCCTCCATATTTATCAAAATCTGTTGTCGATGGATGCGACATTTTTCTGTGAGGCGACGCTAAATTATTTCTTATTTCTTAATTTTATGTATTTTTTAATTTTTTTACTATTTGTTTCTTTTTTCACTCTCAACCCGAGATCAGAGTTGATGCTCGTCACATTGCCGGCGGTGTTACAATACGACGCACACCATTTATTATACGCCGTTAAATGGATAATAAATGTGTTAATACTTGATCTGTTCCAGTACTTTTTTCGTAGTAAAACTATTAAAGGGCTAAACAGAATGTTCGCGTTGAGCGTTTTTTGTTATCGCGTTAACGCACGAAAAAAGTTAAAATATATTTAACTCCGAAGCGCAGCGCACATCAACTTCCAGCGTTTGTGTTATCGTTTCCTTGTGGTTGTTGTATTTTCGATAACACATAACGCAATGGATGGCTCAACGCAAACATTCAGCTTAGCCCTTCACAGTTCAAAATCATACGAAATGTTCTGGAACAGAAAACTAGTAAAAATGCCAAAATTATGTGGCAATACTTCAAAATCAACACAACAGCCAATCAGAATTAGGCATTCCTGTTTACAATTTCTACTCGGTAAATTTTCTTGGGTAAAAAGTAGGCGGTAGCAACTTGTAAACTACAATTTTTTCTTACTGTGCCCAGTAGTTCGAGTAAATGGTTATGGTTATGAACTAGACATTTAACTAATTACTAGTTACCACATCATTCCCTAGACTGGTGAATTTAACATGGGTATGTCATTGGGGAAGTCATTTGCCCCCTGCCTGCCTTACCAGTTACCAGTCATTTGGGTAGATACTATTTTATTTTTGGAAAATTTGAAATATAAAACTTATTCGAAAAATGATTTTTTTATTTATTTCCAAATTTATGTTGTACAATGTTTATGTTCATCTTATCTTGCGTTTCTGTTGATTCCCGACCGCATTTTACATCTGTCCGTGAAATATTCAAGCATCTGAAATGAAAAGGTACCCTATATATTTGGAGAATATTTACCTATTCATCTTTAATTGTTTGCTCAATCTGCTGAATGCTTCTGAATTGACATCTTTCGAAAATCTGTAAGAAATTATGTTTGTGTGCAATTATGTTATGTATTTTTTGAGTTGCAATACCAAAACTTACCCAAGATTCGTCATATGTATTTGGTCGATTCTTGAAATTTGCTTATCGTGAATATATTGTAATCTTGTTTATCGTGAATATATATTGCTTATATTTTTGTATAACACACACATTTTTATTAAACTTTTGCTTTCACAATTATGAAAAGTCTGAAGAAAATGACATTTGTTTTTTTCGGTTTTGTTTGTCGATTCATTACTTTTTCCATTCATAATTATATAATAGCAGACAATTGATATTCATTGAACAACTGGGTGGCTTGTTATACCAAAATCATATACAAAATGTGTGACTGCGTGTGTAATGTTTTGAAAAATATAACAAAATATATTCGAAAATCGATTTGTTTGAAGATGAATTTTACAACATGTGTAAGAAGTAATGTACGATTTGTGAATGAATAAGTATGTAAATCATATCCTCAACTCGATTTTGACATTCCATTCATTTTTCGCGTTTTTGGTAAAATGTAATGTAAATGTAATAAAATGTAATTTATCAATATCAAAGAAAATTCGTTATCGTAGTAAAAAGTAGTAGATTCTTGTATTACGGGAACAAAACAATAGTATAATCTAGTGCGGGAATAGACCAAATGTTATGCCATGTACAGACGAGCGTTGTTCGCTCTCTCATTCGTCGTTCGACCCTTAATTATGAAGTAATTACTTAGTTCCCCATACAAATTTTTCTGAGCGAACACCGATTTTTGTACTTAGTTCAATTCGAATCACTCTCCAAACAACAAAGAAATTTGTCCCATCTCTAACAATTGAGAGCATTTATCGAAAATAAATTAATTTTGACAGCTGGAAAATATTTATAAAATTTTCAAAACAAGAAACAAATGTGGGGAAACCCAAACAAAAATTCTCCAATTTTTTATTTACATATACATATGTGACATTTGAATTCAGAAAATATAAAAATGTATGAAAACAACAATATTTTCAGAAAAAATTGAAAACATGAATTAAAAGTAAATAGATATGGGTTCATGTTATAGTCAGGAGAAAGAGAATTATTTTTTCTATTTAGATCCATATGTGATTCAAGCAAATATGTTACAATTTTGGTGTAAAACAAGAAACAAAAAGTTTGAAATAAAAAACTCTGATGACATGAATTAAGAATAGTGTTATGTGAACGGGTTAATTCATGTACATAATTCTAAGAGCGAACTACGCTGTTCGAATGCCCGTCAGAACATGGCATTACCCTTTTAAACTCTATATATCGCAAGCATATAAAATGGAAACATCTATTTTTTTAGTGCATATCTCTGATTTTATTTTTATTTTATACACACAATTTAGCTTACTGGCGTTTTTATTCTTGACAAGATTTATTAATAAGGATACCCAGCCATGCGTCTTTCTCAAGTCGTAAGTCAAAAATTTGGACTTTGTTTATGTTTTCATAATGGAAGTCAATTCACAATAATGGTGTTTGATTGCAAACTTGAGAAGCAGCTGGTCTCCCTAGATGACCTTAATAATGGGCCTTGATTTTTAACAGCCCTACCTAAATTTCGACTAGCTTGTTCGACGTTATTCACAAAAAAAGTAAAACACATTTATCAACAGAGCGTAGTTTTGTCATAGTTGATTTTTCCCGAGTTATTCATAATCGGAGGATCCAGTCCGCGGGAAAATATTTTCCTTTAGAATACAATTGCTTTCGGATATTCATAATTGGGCCGAATATGTATTGAATTATGAATAAAACAAAATCATCTTCCACCTATAAATTTAAAAATCGTTCAGATTTTTTCTTTTCATTCATGATTTGTTTCATAAGTCAGTAGTCACACGGGCAAACAAACGCCAAAGCAGTTAATAAAATTAAAACCTTTTGCGAGGAAAAAAACACATAATATGTCTGTCGAGTAATTCAAGAGTTCCTTTTACAATTTCTTTTTTTACTTTTAATTCCATTTTTTAATTTTCATGAACAATGGTCAAACGAGAAAATGAGTGTGTGGAAGAATAAGAAAATTCATAAATTTGATGCAAGGGTTATTTGCGTGTCTAAACAACAATGCAATTTTTAAAGAAATTGAGAAGAAAATTTGTCATGAAATTTTGCACGTGTGACTACTGACTAATTGAGGGTAGAACAACAAATAAAGAGCCATGACACAATTAATAGGTAGTCCATTTAGCGCAGCTGATGTCTTGATGAACTGTCAAAGTCGGTAATTTCTACTTGAATTCGATGTGCAGTGTAGCCAACTATTTGAAATATTATATGAAAAAATTTGATACATCACCTTATTATTTCAACCTGCGTGAAGTTATGGTGTTTTTACACGATATGTATTTTGCATATGTGCTGTCACTTATTTCATCCATATGTAATTCCTTATGTGTGTCGAAATTAGCAAATTGGCATATGTATTTTACATATGACATAACCTATAAACAAAATAACACTTTTATTTTTTCTTAAATCAACATATTTTTTTATTAAACACCTACAAACGAAATAATTATTTGTAATCGTTGCCTTTTCATACTTTTCTTTGACTTGCAATTGAAATATTTTCTTCCAACAATGTCTTTCATTCAAACAGCTGATTTCTTTATGTTTCACATACGAAAATAGTGCGCGTCCTATTCGGAAAAAATACATATGTAATTGCATATCGTTTTGACACATTGAAATTTCCGTATGTTTCACATGACGAGTTCGATTTTCATATGTAAAAAAGTGACTGCACATATGTAAAATACATATCGTGTAAAAACACCATTATGCCATGTACAGACGAGCGTTGTTCGCTCTCTCATTCGTTGTTCGACCCTTAATTATGAAGGAATTACTTAGTTCCCCATACAAAATTGTCTGAGCGAACACCGACTTTTGTACGTTGTTCAATTCGAATCACTCTCTGAATAACCAATAAATTTGTCCCATCCCTAACAATTGAGAGTGTTTATCGAAAATAAATTAATTTTGACAGTTTGAAAATATTTATGAAATTTTCAAACTTTTTCAGTAAAATTGAAAATCATGAATGAAAAGTAAAAAATTGTATAGTTTTTATATATGCAGCAGGATGTAAATTTTGTTTTCTACATAATGCAATATGCATTTCTTTTCCCTTGGTTCTAATTAGCGTACAAAACAAGAAACAAATGTGGGGCAACTCAAACAAAAAATTCTCCAAATTTTTATTTGTGACAGTATGTGACATTTGAATTGAGAAAATATAAAAATGTATTAAAAACAACAACATTTTCAGAAAAAATGGAAAACATGAATGAAAAGTAAATAGATATGGGTTCATACAATAGTCAGGAGAAAGAGAATTATTTTTTATATAGATCCCTATGTAATTCACTAAAATATGTTACATTTTTGGTGTAAAACAAGAAACAAAAAGTTTGAAATAAAAAACTCTGATGATATGAATTATGAATAGTGTTGTATGAACGGGTTAATTCATTTACGTAATTCTGAGAGCGAACTACGTTGTTCGGATGCCCGTCAGAACATGGCATTAGCGACATCGCTAACTTTCGATAACAACATTTTTTTTTTATCGAAATTACAGGGTGACACATAGCAGTACAATTTCGGTATAATTTGTTAAAATTCAGTTTTTTTCTTTGTCTAAAAAATTTTTGATATTCAACTGGTGCTCAAGAAAAAAGGCGGCATCTCTGAAACTGGTCAGACGTATATTTCTGAGCAGCAAAGAATTTTTTAAAAAACAAATCCTTATTTTTGGAAATTAAACTTTTTCAGGCGTCATATTTGCATTTGTGTGCATAATGATGCCTGATACCTTACCGGACATGGATTTTGATGTGGCAGAAGAGGTGGCATCAACTTCCAATAGTCAACCACTTGTTGCTTCAATATCAAAATCAACAGAAAAA